AGTGCCCAGGGCGGGGGCGCGCAGTTCTCCGAGGGTCTTAAGTTTAAGCATCCAGCGGCCGACTGGCCTACGTTGTCCGATGAGCATGAGCCTGGGCTGTGCAACATGAGTGGTCAAAATATTCCTTGGGGGCGAGTCGACGGGCCCTCATTGTGTCAAGCAGGGGGTGGTCGACGTATGAGGCACAACATCCGCGAGTTGTCGAGAGCAGCGCATGCGTGCATCTTCTTCGATTCGGACGGGGTGCAGGGATACATAGTTAGAAGGGTTCTCTGGCCGAGCCTGCCCCAAATTAGTCAAGTAGCTGAAGCATTTCACATGGCGTTGCTTCCGATCTATGTTCCTAACCATGGGCCCACTCTGTAGAGCGATTATATTCATGCGGTGGAACTGCGTATCATGGAACCATCCAGTCAGATGTCGGCTACACAACGGTATGGGGGTTTGAGAAGAGGGGCCCTGTTCCCCATGCGGGATTGCGAGTATGCCCCAGCTGTTCATACCCCTGACCATAGGAAACTAAAAGATATTGAGCAGCTGGCCCCGCCCGAGAAGCGGATCGGCCAGGCCAGCTGGCGCGCGGATCGAGAGGCCAAGCGAGCTCGCGACCTGCATCCTCAGGCTTCGGCCGCCGAGTGGCTGCAGCTTTACAGTGCGATCGAGAACCTCGAAGCGGTGGCGCGCCTCGCGGCGAACGTTTTGCCGTGCTTTCCGAGGGCGCACCGCCGGCGCCCACCGAGGCGCGAGCGCCCGCGCAAGGTGATCGAGCAAGCCACCGGCCGGCACAACTCGGAGAGTTGGTTGTGCGGCCACAGGTGTGCCCAGCGTTTAAGTTTTCATGGGGGTGACTTCCAGTCTCGGCCAGAAGTTGGATGCCAGGGTCGCTCCCAAAGTTTAACTAGGCCCCTGGCTGAAGCCCCCAAAAGTGGACATAAGCTAGCGAGCGCGCAGGTTAGTGATGAATAGTTGCCGTCGGTATTTTGCACGACTCGCGGGGGCTACTCACAAGAGAAGGCGCGTAATCTGGCCACGAAATGTGACCCCAAAGAGCACGGTGGAGGGGCCAATGCCTTGAGTAGGCTGAAAAGTGGCCTCCACCCCCAACGCAATTTTGCCGCGTCCTGTGCCGCGCAAGGGAAGCCGGCTTCAGGCGCAGCAGTTCGTTCTTTTGCCGCCGATCCGAGGGCGCGCCTTATCTCGTCGAACGCCCAGCTGCCGTCCGCGCCCGCGCCGCCGAGCGTGAGTCGTCATGTAGCTGCGCCCCCCAAGCGGATGGGCGCAGCGATTTTGTGCTTTTCCGAAGGAAAAAATCATAGATTTCCAAGTTTTCAGTTTTTCCTGTGCGCGGAATTTCTTGCGTCGCCGACCCGTTCCGATATTGGGCATCCCGCGTGCGGCTTGTGCGCGATCTCGCTTCGCCGCGTCATTCGAGCGGCGTCGCCCCCGGTCTGTTTCTGCCGCGTCTCTCTGCTACCACTTTTCTTCGAAATTCGCGTTTTCGGTCATCGTTTCAGCTCGCGGCGGCCTCTTCGGGGGTCTTGCGCGCGTCGTGGGCCGTCTGGTAGCCATCGCGAGTGTCGCGGGCCGATCGCTCGACGACTCGGGGCCCTCTTGGACCGTCTCGGGCGCCGCTCGGGGCCCTCTTGCATCGCTTCGGGGCGCCTGAAAGCCGCGTCCAGGACAAGAACCATCTCTTGCCCGACCTGGCCGGGGCACTTTGCGTCGGGTGGCCCCATGCGGGCCGCCCCGCGCGCGCGAAGTAGAAATGCTGCGAGGCAGTCGCCGGAGATCCCCGCGCGCCTCTGGCTCATGGGGCCGGCGAGTCTCCCCCGAGGAGCACGTCCAGCGCGCTGTGGGGCGCGCGACGAACGGGCGGGCCAATTTCGATTCCTCCTCCTCCTCCTCCTCCTCCTCCCCCTCCTCCTCCTCCTCTCCTGCTGCTGCTTCCAATTATTTCCTTTCCCCGCTGCTGCTGCTGGCCTTCCCGCCGCCGCTGCCGCCCGCTTCCTCCTCTTTCTTTTTTTATTACCGTCGCTGATGCTGCGCGGGCGCGCTTGCTTGGCGCGCCGGCGCACCGGGCTGGCCTGCGATTCTGCGCCCGCGATTTCGCTGACGATTTCGGCAACGCGATTTCGCCAACGATTTCGAACGCGATTTTGCCCGCGATTTCGGACTCGAATTTACCCACATTTTCGGCCACGATTCCGCGCCCCCTTGCAAGGCCCCACGAAACCGCGCGCGATTTTGAACGCGATGTTTTCCTTATTGATTTAAATGCGAGAGAAATCGCGGTCAAAAAAGTGCGCCTCCGCGGAAGGGGGGCCAAACATGTGCGCAAAATCGCGACCAACAAAATGCCCCAAATCGTCGTCAAACGGGGAGGGGGGACAGGGCGCCGCGGAAAGGCGGCGGGGGGGTCGGGGAGGGGCCCAGGGGTTCCCCCGGGAACCCCCGCTCGGTTGGAGAGGATGCCCTCGCGGCGGGCTGCGCTGCCTCGCGCGGCGGGTTCGCGATTGCGCCGCCGCGCCCGCGGCCGGCCGTTGAGGCTCCGCAGCCGAGGTTTGCCGTCAGGCCCCTCTTCTCCGCCGCCAGCGCAGCCGCGCGCCGCGGCCCCCAGGGGAGAGCGCCGGGGCCTCGCCGCGGCTGCGGCAGAGCCTGCGCCAGCGGCCCCCGCGCCCGCGGTGGGCCCCACGAGCGCTATTCCCCAGAAGCGGAGTTTGCTCAACTTGCGCGGGCGCGGGACCCAACCGCCTCTGGCGCCCGGCCAATTCCCTAGGTAGCGCTCGCGCTCGAGCGTTTCTTCTTCACGCGGGGCCTCCGAAATGGCCCTTTCTTGTGGTCCGTCGGTCCCGCGCCGGCGCGTTCCATTATAAATCAGCTTGGGAGGAGTTTCTCCCGCGCAAGCTATCGGCCGCGCGGCCGGGGCAGCACCTGGCCTTTCGACGGCTGCGCGCGCGCGCCGATTCCGCCTGCGCGTCGACTGCGGCTCGCGCCCAAATTCGCGCGCACACTATGCCCGACGATGACGGAATGAAGCATCTTCGCGGCGATGAATTTCATGGCGGTCGCGCGGCGGCCCGGCTCGGGGGCCGCGTTGGTCGCGCCTCCGCGGCTCGCCCGGCGCGATTCTTTGGCGGGAGCAGGCGGCGCGCGGCGATTCGATGGCGCGCGGGCGTTCCATGATGATTCCCCGCGGTCCAGCTTGAGGAACGCAACGTGTTGGAAATTTTTCCATTTTGAAATCGTTGCGGCTCCTTGGGGGGGGGGGGCCATGCTTGGCAAGAGTCGGGAGGGCGGAGGGTGTCGGGAACGGGGGGGGGGAACTGAGTTTGCCTCCTGTGGAGGAAGTGGCAGTTGCGTCCGAGCGCCGCGGGCCCCCGCTTGGGGGCTGCTGCTGTCGGCGCGAGGAGCGGGGATCGCGCCGCTGCCTCGCGCAGCGCGGGCGGGATCCGCTGCCGCGGGGGGGGCGGCAGGGGGGGAGCTCAGCGAGCGCCCTAAGGCCGCCCCTCCAGGACCTGTGCATCCGCGGCTGGCGGGGGAAGGAGGACCCCCCCCCAACAGAAAAATAAAACATAGGTCTGGGGCCAGACCCCCCCCCCCCTTCCGCGCAATGTCGAAGCGCCGCATGAGAAAACGCTCGCGTGGCCGTGACTGAATTCGGCTCAAAAGACTAGTCAGGGTGGCGTCTAGGGGGCAATGTGCGAAACTGGTATTTTGGTAGGTTCGCGCCGCGCTTGCACGTCGGCGACCCCAGCACGATCGTTCTGTGGCCAGCGACCGGTTGGTATGGCACGATCTGCGCCACGAATGTTGAGTCGGGCGTGTCGTTCTACAGGAGGAATAGTCAGAAATAGACAAAAAACGATTTGTCGTACTTTTGGTTATTTTCGAATGTTTTTGGATTGTTTTCATTTGTCATCCAAAATCCGCCTGTAGGGGGACACGCCCGACCTCATACTAATCATTGGGATGCTACGATCGTTCAAAGTTGACTGATCATCGCGGTGTCAGAGACCAGCGCTCACGTCGTCACCACACGAACCTGGCGTAGTCCACGCGGGATTGATTTTCCCAGAAGCGCCAAGCGCTGTCACAGTAATGAGAGGTCCCGAGGGGAAGAAGGCGCCGAAATTCTTCAAACTCGCTTTCGTATATTTGCGCACTCTCCCCGACCTCATTTTGCCTCCTCTCTTATCCCTCCGCGTCCTGTTCTCTGGAGTCGGCCGCGAAGGGCCAAGTTGTTGCCGACTGCTCACGCTGGCGACAGAGCCTGGGTAAAGAATCGGCCGGGCGCAGTCCTGGGCCACGCCAAAGGGGGAGGGGGAGGGTGGCAGGAGGATGCTGGCGGTTTACACTTCCGTAAGGTGGCTGGTCCCTGAACATGGTGGAAGGTCATCCCACCGACGGCCAAAAGAAACCTCGCCGATAGCATCTCGAGACATGTTGTTAGACCGCTACTTATGCTGAGCACCAAGATTGTATAACAAAAAGCATGCGAGGAGCGCTGGGATGGGGAAGGCAGAAGGGCAGTGCGACTTAGGCGAGGTAGGATAGGCGGGCTACCAGAGACAAAGACGCGTCTGCGATCAAGCGCGCCTCAGGATACGAGGGGAACCCTGAGGGGGCCGTGGCGGCGGCAGGCAGGCTGTGGGGGTGGCGCCTCAGGAAAATGCCCACACCGTGAACTTTCTAACGCCTACAGGAGGCCCATCATAAAGGGGAAGTGACGGGCCCAGACGCCGCTGCACTCCCTTCTGGCTGTCGACCCCCAGCTCCACTGCGAGGCGAGCGAGAGATCTCAGCGTCTGTCCACAGAACTGCTGTTAATCATCGCCGGGCCACTTGGGGGCCCAGCGGGGGTGGGTCGGCTTATGTCCCCCGTTAGCTGGCCCTGATGGTGGAGCCAGGGCCCCAATCCAGCGGGAGCAAGAGAGACGACGGAGGCAGCGGGGGGACGGGGCCCCTTAGAGGAGAGCCGGTCTCACAATCCTCCCCGGGAGGCGGCCTGCGTCGCGGTTCCAGACGGCCAGGTGTTCGCATTGGCGCCGCAGGCACCACCCGCACGTTTTTTGGTGTCGGCCTCAGCGTGCCCGATCGACCCTGAAGGGCTGTAGGGTCATAAATTGTCGAAGTTCCGCGCGGACGGTCAGAGCAGGAAAAGGGTAATTAACTACCCGTCGCCCGTTTTCCCGCTTTTCGCCCTCCTGGCGGGCCCTCGTCGCCACCACTGGATTCGCCCCGAAATTTTGGTCAGAGCGCACCCCAGGAGAGGTCCAGGGAGTAGCGGTACTGGTATTTTTTGGTTTCCCTTGACAGGGGGTGATCAGCGAACCGCCGCCTTTGGGAGCCCGTCCCCGTGTGGCTCGTTCGGTGTCTGGCGGCGCGCACAAGGGGGGGGCAGGGAAGGGGGAGGGCTTCTTAGAAGGACGCTGCTTCTTAGAAGGCGCCGGCCTTACATCTAGAGAGAAGGCCCGCGCCCTCTAAGAAGCAGGGGTGCTTCTAAGAGACCCTCCCCCCTCCCCCCACGCCCCGCTGCGCGTGGCTCGTTCGGTGTTGTCTGGAGGCGTGGTGCTTGTGTCAGGAGGAACACGCCGATGGGCCCCCCATGGCGGCGTGCTACCGAGACAGGCGGCGGTGGCGGCGGCGGCGACTTCAACGGCGACGACGACGACGACGTCGACGACGACGACGACGTCGACAGACGGACGACGACGACGACGGACGACGATGGTGACGACGACGACGACGACGACGACGACGACGGACGACGACGACGACGACGGACGACGACCTGATAATGACGGACGACGACGGCGAGAGGGGCAGGGGGGAGTTCGAGCCCCTCCCCCCACCCCCCCGACGTTATGGATTGGGGTGGGCGGAGAGTCGAACCCCCCCTTCGACTTTCAGGACAGCGGGGATTCTCGCGGGGGAGGGGGACGGATCCTGGTTCTCGGATATGGGGGAACAATTCGGCCACCAGGACAGCGTACGCAGAATCCGCTCTCTTTCATACCTCGTCGCCCGCAGTGGCGCGAAGGTAACCGCGCTTCGCGTGCAGCAGTTTGCAGCGTGTTCCCTCTGCCGCGCGATGGTGCTACGATAACCGCTCTTCGCGTAGCACGGTGCGCGAACTCAGGTGACTTGGGCATACAGACAGAGAGGAGGATAAGGAAGGGAAGGGAGAGGGCTGGGCGGAGAAGAACGGCGAGGACGTGCAAGACACCTCCCTCTGAGGCCCCCGCTGTCGACTCGATCACCCGCCCAGCGCCTTTTGCATCGACTCCAGCCACGGGGCAGTGCGCTCCCCACGCCTCTCCAAGCCTTCTCTTCCTCTTGCCCTCCCCCCTCTCCGGCGCAGCGGCGCTCACAAGGCTGGGGAACAGGCGGGAGCCAGGTGCCCCTCCGACGCACCCAATCAGCACGTGCGCTTGGCTCGTCCACACCCAGGGTGCGCCAGCCTTAGGGGGCCACATGCGAACCCTACCCCTACCCCCCACGATTCCTGAGGGGGGTAGGGGTAGGGTTCGCATGTGCCCCCCTAAGCCTCTCCTTCGCGCACGGTGCCCCCACGCCTCTCCAGGCCTTCTCTTCCTCTTGCCCCCCCCTCCCCTCGAGCGCAGCGGCGCTCACAAGGCTGGGGAACGCGGGAGCCAGAAGACCCTCCGACGCACCCAATCAGCACGTGCGCTTGGCCCTCGAGGTCGGTTCGGGGAGGGTGCCCTAGTGTTCTTCGCGTTTGTTGGATGTTCTTGAGCATCCTGCGGAGGGTACCCTACGGAGGGTCTCATGTTCTTGAAGGATGTTTTTCTGGCCGAAGTCCGACTATATCGATTCCGATTGGGGCTCCAGAGACGGAGGTCAATGCAAACGGGGGTCAGTCAGAGCGTCGGGTCTTGCAGGATCCTGCAGGGTCAAGGGTGCTCTGACCTGATTTTGGGTGCAGGATTCTGCGAGGCTCGACTCACCGGGGTTTGCAGTGACACTGGTCAGCACGTCCCCGACCCGATATTCCGGCGGGCCGATATGGACCAGTCCTTGTATGCCAGGTGTTGCTAGAGGTGCCCTTTGCCCAGGGTGCTGCCAGGGTTTCCAAGGAGGCCCCCAGGACGGTTCCCCGAGTACGGCGTTGCTGTGCATCCTGGCGCAGCCGATCCGATTCGATGTCGATTCCGGGGCGATGCAGCCCGGTCCGACGCGCATGTTGGCTGATCCTGGCAATGGCAAGTGTTGTGAGACCTGGTCTGGGACGCCCCCCTGGGCTCCCGCCCACCCTTCTCCTGAGCCGTCTCTCGAGAGTGGCAGTGCCAAGTTTCGCAGTGTCTCCTCAACCGTTTCTGGGGGACGACACTTCCACTCAGACTTGTCGTTCTGTTCCCAGCTCATTGTTGGGGGAGGCTTGGAGCGTTGACTGCAAAACCTTTGGTCGCTGGGGCCAGACGGCGGAAGCAAGCTCGCGATCAGCACCTACAAAACACTGGCGCGCACTATCTAGCGCGCTTTCGGCAGCCACCTCATATTGGCCCCCAGGGGTATTGCACCTTCTTTTCTATTCCTCATCCTGCTCATCTTCGTTTCCCTTCCTGGATCCGTCTCATCCTCTTATGCACCCTCTTCCTCCCACCTATCTCCTCCCTGCTCCCACTCTCGCTCCCTCCCCCCCATCCAGCCCGCCCCAGCAGCCTCCCCAAACAAATAACTCCAGTCCTGCCACAAGGACCACCCTCTTCCCCCTCCCCCCCTCCCCTCCACTTCCATTCCACCCTCCTGCCGCTTCCAGCCTCCGCCGCTCCCCCCCCCCGCGGGCAAAAAGGTAAACGGCGATCTGCTCCGCACGGGTGCCCCCCCCCACCGCGCGGCTTGAGACTCAGGTGTCCGAGTACGGGATGCACGAATTGCGGGTCATCGCTGCTGGCGGAAAAGTGCTTCGTTGTCATTTCATGTCGACGTCGCAGCTGGGAGACTTCGCCGAGGTGTCCAGAATCTGTCCGCTTTCTCTGTGTCCTTTCTGGGCGTTGCCTCTCCAACTGGCATTCTCGACGACGCTGCATTGGGCCTTGAGCGAAGAGTTGGGTGAATGGTTGGATTGGGGGGAGGAGGGAGGTCGTGAGGGCAGGGAGTGGAGAGGGAGAGCGAAGGAGGCGGAGGAGGAGGAGGAGGATGAGAAGGAGGAGAGGGGAGTCGCAGAATGGGGTGACGAGGATGATGATGAGGAGGCGTACAGGGACGACGACGACGACGATGGGGACGACAATGAGGAAGGTAACGGCGCGACAATGACGGTGGCGGCGGTCACGACGTCTACGACGATGGCGGCGGCGGTGGCCGCTATCATGTCGGCGGTGACGGTGACGGTGGCGGTGCCAAACATCGGAATGAGTGGAGTCTTGGCACGCCTTTTCCTTCAACTTCCTCTTCAGTTCAGAACGAATCTGCGCTTCAGCGTGTGCCACGTTGATCGTCCGCTTCGTAGAGAGGTCGAGGGACAGACGTGAGTCAACAAGAGGAAACCTGGGACTAGTTGACATTCTAACTTTCCCATCGTCCGTGTTGCCCCCCTGTCCACGGCAAGGATGGAAGGAGGCGGTGGAGCTGGTGGAAGATGGGGTGGAGAACGCGCACCCAGTAGCCGCCTCTGGTTGTCGGTCTGTGGTCGCAAGGCGATGGACCACTTCCACGACGCCTGCGACTGGGTGTGGGATGGCAAGTGGACGGATGAGCTGGAGGCAGCCACCATGGGCATGCTTGTAGAGTTGGACGACTACTTCTCGTCCCTGGACGCCGCTATGGCGAGGAGCCCGCTCGGGGAGACCCTGAAGTCCGAGATCGGCCCGTCGAGGCGCCGCCTGGAGGCGTGCCTGGCCAAGGCGCTGGAGCACCAGGACGCCCAGTCGGTGGGCCGCATCTACTCGGGCGTACGCAGCTTCCTGCATGCCCAGGGCGTCATGAACATGCTGCCGGGGATGCTGGGCGGAGGGCTGGGCACTCCGAGGAGGGAAAGCTATTGACGCCGCTGGATTCGCCTCGAGTCTCTGGTCAGAACGCACCCCCGGGAGAGGTCCAGAGGGCAGCGGTATATCTGTATTGCCTCGTGTTCGCCTTCCGGGGCCTTCTGACGGCCCTCGCCGCCACCGCTGGAGCCGCCTCGGAGTTCTGGGCAGAGCGCACCCCGGGAGAGGTCCGTGGAGCATCGGTGTCAGTGTCTTCCTGCTTCCCCAGGCATGGGCCCGCTCCGAGACAGCGGGCTCTACAGGAGCGTCCTCGCGTTCGAGCGGGAGCGCTTCGCAGCGGCGTCCAGTGCGAAGCAGGCCGAGGTCAGGAGTGTCCGGGCCTCGTCCCGCGGCCCTGCCTCCCGCGTCTGCTCAACCTGCCCCATCCAGCCCTTCCCCCTTTCCCCCCTCCGCTTCTCCTCCTCCCGATTCCTCCTCCTCCTCCTCTTCCTCTTTCTCCCTCTTGCCCCCGCCGTTCTCTTGGCAAACACATGGCACACATGGGGCATGGCTCGCGTGCGTTTGACCATGCGACTTGGGAGGGGGAGGTATCGGTGAGGAGAAGGAGCCACGGGGATACGATGCTCCAAGAGGCAACACGGAGTCGTTGATTCTGTTATGCCGTCGTCGTTTTCTTCATGACCGTAGGGACCAGCGGGTAGGGACTAGGAGGTGGATAGGGAAAAGAAGGGGGGATGAGAGGGAGGGGGGCGGAGACACCTGATAACTGGCATCTGGACCGTGTGCGGACCTCGCGCGCGGCGCTGTGTGTGTACTGCGCTCGCTCGCACGGCGGAGGCTGAGCTGGCGGCTCTTGGGCGAGGCGAGCTGTGGGTGGGGCGCAAGCAGATGCTCGCACATGAGGGTGGGTCGGGCCTCATTGGAAACGCCCTTCCCGATCGTCCGATCGTGGTGTCGCAGGTTTGTGCTCGGCCGTGGTTCATCAGTGTGCTCCTTCGAGCTGCCCTCCGAATGAAGTGAAGGGGTTGCAGGTTCTCCTCATCGTCGCATTCCCCCTTCGCCTGGTGACTCGATTCGGGGCTGAGCGCGGAGGGCAGCGAAACGAGGCCCTGGTAACATTGAAGCCCGCTGCTATCTCATTGGCCTTGGTCTCCGCCGTGGTCTCGACCGAGATGACACGATGATCGAACGAGTGCAGGCCGCTCGGGCATCTGACTGCGACCAGGCGATGCTAGGAGGCTTCCTTCTCCTCCCAGCGAAATGGCACGAACGCCTCCGTGCATATAATCCTGGTCGAGCGCTGCTCCCGCTGGAGGGGCATCATGCGAGGCGCGAAGACGTGTTGTTTTCCGAGCGAGAAAGAAGCGACCGCTTCTTTGTGTCCAGTCCTGGTCGAGCTCTGCTGAAAGGGGACTGCACGGGCTCGAGCCGAGGCCCTCACGCGGCTGATCGAGACGGCCGACGCGCACGCTGCGGAGCTGGAGGGCGGCAGCTCCACGGACTTCCCAAAACGGCGGGCAGGGTGGCGGGCCAGCCACGGCATGGGAGCTGTGCTCCTCACCCCTCTGTCAGAGGGGGGCAAGCGGTCGGGCACCCGTCTCGAGAGAGGCCGTGGTCACGGTGGGCTCTCAGCGGGGTCAGGAAGCACAGCTCCCTTATTTGCGGCTGCTCGAGGTGAGGGGAGGGGGGTGCTCATACCTCGAGCAGCAGGGACATGGGAGGCTGATAAGGGTCGCAGGGGATGCTTCTGAAAGCCTTCTAGACTTCCAAGGGCCTCTCCGCCACGATTTAGGAATGTCGGGTCGCAACAGTTACGTTGATTCACGGCTTTGAAGTCCCAGGAGTTGTGTGTTTGGCCCGATTGCGGATTCTCAGACGGGTGTCTTCTAGTGGACCGTTTCCCGCATTGAAAACATATTCTCGTAGGGACTTGCGAAGAGGGAACTTGCAGGGAAGGTTGATTGCGGTATCATTCGCGTGTCTTGTGTTTACATTCGTCCTCCTCCTCCTCCTCATGCTCTTGCAGGTGGCGCAGCGGCTTGCGCAGCACCCTGGTGGAGATGCTCGAGGACCCGGAGGCCAGAGGAGCACGCCTCCTGCATCGGGGCATTGTCGGAGTTGTCCGGCCTGCTTGAGCGTGGGCCAGTTTCCCAAGCCGATCATGCGGTGCCAGCAGCGGAATTCTAGGCCTTTCAAATGGGGTCGGAGTAGATGGCGTCGGAGGATCGCGCCGCATCGCCGATGCATCGGCGATGCGGATCGATGTGGAGCCCGATTTTCTCCACGCCGACGTCGCGGATGCGGCGCTCCTCACTCTCCACATTCGCTTCCGAGAAAAATGCGACGGCCTCGTCCAGTGTAGCTGCATCTTGGCCTCGAGGCGGTCGTCAGCGAGGGGCGGCTCGTCGCAGTCCACTGCCCGCTGCATCGTCCACGAGCCCTCCTTCCCCCGGTTTCGCAGGGCTCCACGTGCGAATCGGCGGCGCGCCAGAGGGCGCAGGGTCAGGGGGCGACCTTCTGAGAGGGCCCCTCCGCATGTCACGAAGGTGTGTGTGTGTGTGTGTGTGTGGGTGTGTGTGTGTGTGTGGGTGTGTGTGTGTGTGTGGGTGGGGGGCGGCCCTGTAGGAGAGGGCAGCACGCTCTCCTGAACGACCCCCCCTCCTTGGAAGGCCTCCCCGCTCTCCCTCCCCGCCGTTGCTCGCCGCCCCCGTCCAGCGCTCTCTCTTCGAGCGCCTGCGAGCTCCCGCTGCGAGCTCGGCGATCGGCCGATCCGGCAGAGCGGCCTGGCCTCGGGGCCGAGCCCTCCTCGAGGCGACGGATACACCGATGGCCTCGGAATCCCGAGCGCCCGAATGGCTTTGCAGAGCAGTCCAGGACGAACAAACGGATAAGCATGATAAGCAGCATAGGACGTCGAAGGTTCTATGAACTCAATGGAGCCTTAGATGGCCAGCGGGTTGGCGGCTGCGCCTTTGCCACCCCTACCCGAGGAGAAATCTCCCAGGGAACAAGAAGGGACGAACAGACGGCGTAAGCATCAATTGGCGCGCGGAGCGTGCCAGGGGGCGGCGCCAGAGGCCCCGCAGGGGGTCCGGCGCAGAGCCAAGAAATCCGGGCGCACCGTCAAAAAGGTTCTGTTTCTGTCCTTTTTCATTTTCGGCGCACTTTGGCCTTGCCGCAGCGCTCCGCCCCCTCCAGCCCGGCCTTTGGCCAGGGAGCGCGGGCGCTGCACCAGCTCGGAGACCGCCGAGGCAGGGATTCTCAGGAAGCATCCGAGATCCCAAAGCCACCCGCTCACCCTGAGGCACCCCTGACTCACCCGACAGTATGCCCGCCAGACCGTTTCGACGCGTGGTGCATCCGTCAATCCGCCGATTCGCGCACCTCTCTGCTCTCTCCTCTCTCTCTCTCTCTCACCCTCTATCTCTCTCTTCCCCCTCTCTCACGCGATTCGTACGAGAGTTACGTTCTCATTTAAGCTCGACAAATCCCCCTATCCAGCCTCGGTGTTTCCCGATGCGCATTTTAGATGCATTGTGGGCCCAAAATCGGCCCTACATGTGAAACAACACAAAGCAATGCTCACCCTGTTCCAGGTTATACTTTCCTGCGCAGAATTTGTCATGCGGTTGACATGTTTGATCTAGCGCGCGAATTTGATGAAGTTGGCCACACGCGCGGTCGTGTCTCAAACCAGTACAACATATAGTTTTGGCACGGTTTCATGCTATATCTAAGGACGCTATTGTCTACTCAGTAGACCAATCAGCGTTTCGTAGAGAGAGCGCGAGCATTTCTGGCAACACATGCTGTGGCTTTGGCAGCGGCTAAAATCCAACTCTTCGATACACTCGTCAACGGTAAGGGCCTGTCGAATTTGGTGTTCTTTTGCACGCCAGCCTTGCGCATAGATTGTTGTAGCAATGGACGCACTCGCGATACCACTAATATGATTTGAAGTGTTCCAAGAGGAGATGCAACGTTCTGATTTGTTGGGAGGGAATGATCGCGCTCCACATCTAACGACGGAGTCTATTGCTCTACTCTCTAGCCTCGTATCTGTCAGTACCTTCGAGGCTCCGAGAAGTTGCCGCGACCAGGCATCCATGAACCCAGGAGCTTGGAGCCAGTAAGCCCAGGAATTCGGTCCCCTAGAACCCAGCCCCCCACGGAAACCAGCACCCCATGTTGACAGAATTCTTATCATTTCCGCGGGGGCCCCTTCCGTACATCCACTCGGGAAACAAGCGTTTGAAATTTTTGTGCGTTCTTTCATTTCAACGGCCGCGCCTTTGACATGAAGGACGGAGAAGAAAGAACGAGCCCCTCTGGGGTCTCGGACGTGAACTCCGCGGCGCCAGGAGACGAAGATATGATTGAATGTGGGGTTCTGATGCGTTACAATATTCCGAGCTCCTCGGCAGCTGAGCACCCTGATGTGATACGTTTCTGGCGCTTTGGAAGGCTGATTTTGCTAGGCAGCTTGAGGTCATGAGTGCCAAGCCCGCGAGCATCACCAACACCAGCCACAAGGAGATTGTGAGTTCCGCTCGGGCCAGCCTGGCACAACCTGGATGGGTCGCTCCACAAGTGGCCGGGCTGTCCCGCCTTGGTGTCGATAGTGAAGCCGGAAGTGAGATCGATAACCCGATCGCTCGAATTGAACGGATAGTGTGACCAAAAGTGAGATCGACAGTGAGGTTGACTGTGACATTGGTTGTGCGCTCGAGAAATGAATCGATAGTGAGATCGCTCTTGGGACCGATGGTGGTATCGATCGCTGAATCCATTGATACTAAGGCTGGCCGCGAGGCCGATCGTGGGATCGATCGAGTGAGATCGAACTCGGGGACGATAGTGACATTCAATCGTAGCGCGACGTTGTCATTACGCGTCGTCGCTAACTCGAGGGAGCATCACCAGCATCGTCATCAATACACCCATCGCATTTGCCAGCAGTTGGTTCTTTCCCCCCCATCCCCCAACCTCCTTATCACCCGAATTGTGGTTGTATAGGTATGTGTATTTGCTCCTGCCACATTGAAGGACGCTCCGTGCATACTGAGGCGATGAGGGTGTGGTGGTGGTGGTTGTTGAGTGGGTGATGGTATTGGTGAGTCCTGGGCAGTTGCATCATTCCTTGCCTCGCAGGCCGTCATACACCCGTTGCCCTTCCAGCAGCTGCGTGGGGGCGACGAGGGCCACATAGCCGAGATGATGCGGGGCGTAATGGAGTCGATGGGGAGCAGCGGCAGCAAGGTACCGCGCACCCGCCCGCTAGGCCTTAGATGAAGAGAGCGTTCTCCCGGACGTTTCCGCTTTGCAGCCCCAGCCTACATTTGCTTTGGATGTTGAGGCAAAGGTATGTGCCAATGGCATGCTTCGAATCCTTCAGGGGGCGTCATCGAAGGATTTCCAGGCAGCTTTAATTGCATGGAGAGTGGTGGATCTTCAGCCTCTCTTCCTCTTCTTTCGTGCCTCCAGCCTCTCCAGGGGCGAGGGGGCACATCTCACCGCCGCTGCAGCTGTGACCGTCCGGGCCGTTGTGAGCAACTGCTGCGTGTTAGCTCGGTGTGCCTGGCAGGGTGGACGGGCTCCTGCTGCTCGGCCGGTTCCCCGAGGAGGAGGAGGAGGAGGAGGAGGAGGAGGGAGGAGGAGGAGGGAGGGAGGGAGGGTGTGGAGGAGAACGAGGAGGAGAACGAGGAGGAGGAGGAGGAGGAGGAGGAGGAGGGTCGTCACCGCATTTGTTTTTGTTCGTCTTCCTGCTTGTCCGCATCCTCCTCAGACTCGTCCTCAGTCAGTCCTTGCGCATCCCTTTTGGTTCAAGCCTCGTCCGCGGCTTCTAGAATCGCGCAGTGCTGGCCCGCAAGAGAGAAAAATAGTTTTTGATGGCTCACCGCCGTTACTGTTATCTGAATGTCTCCGTTTCGCAATAAGTATGTTCCCCGTCAACCCCATCCTTCCTCTCCTCCAACCCCTCCTCCTTAGCCTCGCCCTGCCCCCCCCATAACCTTATTCCTTTGTCCCGTTTCTCTCGTGGTAGTTTATCGTAGTTTTGATCCGTATGTTCGCCACCAGCTCCGACGTGCCATTGCCCTGGGCAGCTTCGATCATTTGATCGCGAAGCTTGCGTCCCTCTCTTGACATCCTGGGGCCGCTTGCGCAGAGGCCCGCTCGACCGAGGCGTGCTAAATGGCGAGGGTCTTCACGGTATCGGGAGACTGTCGAGAGCATGGTGGGCGCTCGCCCCGGCCGGACAGCTCAAGATCTACGGGAAGTTGTTGTGGATTCGGCACGCGTCTCTGCGGCGCTGGACCCCCCCGGGTTTGCAAACGGCCTTGTCAAACAGACGACTTTCAAGAGCTACGGCGCCAACGCCGACAATGTTCACCTCTGACCAATAGCAGAAAGTTCGAAGGCCAATTTTAATGTTTTGATTTTCTTTCTGAGATTCGTAGATCGGCGGTTGGAGAGGGCCCGCTTTGCCCCCCCCCAGACTTGGCGCGATCTCCACGTTGCGTTCAACTTGTGACGCGCTTGTTGATCCAAAGCCATCGGGCCGAAGTCGGGCCATCGCCACGTTGCGTCGCCCAGCCCATGGATATGCGCGATGTTCACATGTGTTGTTCCATCGCCACAACTGGAGAGTTCTGTCCTCCCCAACGCGGGCGTAGGGTGGGCCAAGGGCGATGGCGGGCGGGAAGAGGGGAGCTGCCCCCCCTCCCTCCCCTCCCGGGGCACCCCGCCGCTCCCACGCTCGATTCCCCCCTGTTCTTGTCGTTGCGCGCGCAGGGGGCGCCGCCCCATTTTGCGCGCGAGCCCGCGAGCCGCCCGCCTGGAGGGGGCCTTCGCGCGGGCCCAGTCCGCGGCTACATAGATTGTTGTCGGGCAACTTCCCGTCGCAGCACCCCCGACACCCCGCTCCTTGGAAGACGCGGCGACCGACGGGCGTGGCAGCCCGTTTCCAATATTGGGGTGCCCATTTCCGTATTGTTTGTTAGAACCCGCGGTACAAAGTAACAGTATGGTTGCCTTGTTTTCCGCGAGCGTGTTCGGAGGTCCCGACGGACTGATCCTTGATCATTTTCGTTCGTTTGATCGTTGGGTGGCGGCCGTGACGCCTCGCGTCGGTCCTCCTTCCGTCGTCCTCCTTCTCGTCCTGTTTTTCGGGCTCCTCCTGGCTTTCGTTCATTCGCTGGGAGGCGGAATCGCGTGGGTGGCGAACTCTTTCGTCTCGGCGAGCGCCCTGTCAGCGTCGCCCAGGAGGAACCGTCGGCCCGTTGCGAGGGTGCCCCAAACGGTGACGATCCTGCCCCCCCCCACTCATCACCGGGCGCTCGTTTCGACGCGCCCCCGCCCTTTCGGCGCGACCGCCGGCGTCCAGAGTCAAGCGGGGGAGCCCCCGGGGGCCTCCCTCACCAGTCGGCGGGGTATTTGTTTTCTCTGGAACATCGCCCCTTCGCTTCCCCAGCGTCTGCGCGGGGAGGCGTGGGCATTAACGGACATCGCTTAGAATTCCCCGAGGGAGCCTTTGGGAAACCCAGGGGTCCCCGAGGAAAGCGTCAAGGGACCCTAAGGAAACCCAAGAGCACAGGTGTTTCTACGACGTGGTCCCCTCTCCTGCCTCTTCCCTCCTCCTGCGCCTTCTCTCTCGGTGCCTGCCTCCTTCCGCCCTCCCTACCCCTTCTGCGCCCTTCGCCTGCTCCTGCCCTGCCCCGCCCCCCCTGCCCCCCTCCTTCCTCCTCTTATATTCCACCTCCCTTGTTCCTCCTCCCATTTTTCTCTTCGCTCCCCCGCGCTCCCTCGCCCCCCCATTACTCCTCTTCCCCCGCCCTGCCCCCCCCTCCGCCCTCATCCCCCGTCCTCTTCTGCGCCATGCGTTCGCCTTCCCTCGCCCCCCCCCCCCCCACATCCGCTCCCCGCCCTCCGCCCTCCCTCACCCTCCGCCCTGACCACTATCCCTCTCTCCGACCTCCCTCAGCTCACTCGCCCTGCTTCCTCCCGCCCTCCCGGCCCCCACCCCTTCCTCACCTTCCGTCCGCTTTTCCACCCTCGTTCATATTCCCTCATTCCCCCTCCCTCACCTCCCACCCTTACCCTCGACCCTCCCTTGCGTTCCCTCGCCCTCCACCTCCTCCCTCGGTCTCCACTGGCCCTGTGGTGCTAGCTATGTGGTGTTATCTATGTGGCGCAAGCTGCGCGGTGCAATCGTCCGAAGCGGTGTGGTGCAGGCTACGTGGCTTGAGTTTTGTGACGCAAGCTATGTGGTGCAAGCTATGCGGGTTGCAAGCGATGCGGCGCAAACCATGTGGATGCAAGCTGTGCGGCGTACCCTACGTGGTGCAATCTATGTGGTGCGAGTTTTGTTGCGCAAGCCATGTGGCGCACGCTATGCGCTGAAAGCCGGGGCTGGCGTTGTCAAGTAAACGCCCTGTCAAGATTGGAGCGGGCGTTGTCAAGTAGGCGCCTTGTCGGGACAGGGGCGGGCGTTGTGAAGTATGCGCCCAGTCGGGACCGGAGCGGGCGTTGTCAAGTATGCGCCCAGTCGGGACCGGAGCGGGCGTTGTCAAGTAGGCGCCCTCTCGGGACCGGAGCGGGCGTTGTCAAGTACGCGCCCTGTCGGGACAGGGGCGGGCGTTGTCAAGTATCCGCCCATTCCGGACCGGAACGGGCGTTGTCAAGTATGCGCCCAGTCGGGACCGGAGTGGGCGTTGTCAATTAGGCGCCCTCTCGGGACCGGAGCGGGCGTTGTCAAGTAGGCGCCCTGTCGGGACTGCGACGCCCCCGTTTGCATGCTGCTTCCCTCCTTTCATTCCTCCCTTTCCCTCCATTCACCTCCCTCGTCTTCCGCTTCCACGTGCTCCCTCCCTCATTCTCCCCCGCTCCCTCCCTCGCCCCCTTTTTTTGCCTTCGCTGTCTTCGTTCCCTCTCTTCCGTGTTTTCCCGCCCCTCCTTGCCCGTTTCCCTGTCGCCCTCCTCCCCTTCCCCCGCCCTTGCCTTCTACACCCTTGAGTCCTTGCCCACTTCCTGCCACTGCCCCACCTCTATCGCCCGCTTTCCCTGTCGCCGAGCGACCCTGAGCACGCCTATTTGCAATCTTGGTTCCAAGCCCTGCTCGCGCCTTCGCCAAGCCTCTGGGCAACGAGCCCAGCGCTGGTGCGGGCACTGCGCTGTATATTTGCGAGGTGCGCCCCGTCAGTGGTAGCGGGGCCAAGTGCGACGCTGCGTCGCATGCGTTTCTTCGACGACGCCCGGGGCCGTCAGAATTCTGCCGTTGCGCCAGTATCGCTCGTGCTTGGGGCAAACGGTGGCGCCGCGGGTTCGTGACGAGTGTCAACTGCGCGTATCTGCGCAAAGCGGCCTTCGCGCAAAGGGCGCCGCGCTGTTGGCCAAAGGGTCGGGCGACCCCTCGAACGACGAATAAGTTGGATGAGCGAGTTTTGCATGCTGGTCAGAGGTGAACAATGTTCGGACGCGGCCGACAGACGCCGGCTATCCAAGTTGATTGCGGGCGGTACGAGGAAAGCGTTTCTGGAATGGCAAACAAAGAACGTTCGTGCTCAACTCGAACGCTTTTCCGATATGAAGAAGCTTTCTGCCATCTTTACGGAGTCCGTGAAGGGCATTCGACTTGACCCCGAGGCTTTCGCAGCCATGCGAAAGGACGTCTACTCTTCCGAGGCCAGCGCGCCGTCCCCCCGAGACTTTCGCAGCTACAGCGTATACCAGGCATCACGTTCGGAGAACTGCGGGCAGCCTTCGAATCAATGGCCAGCAGACGGTGTGCTGACAAGCGTGGTGTCAGGTTGGAAATGTTTCGCCATGCTGGCCTAGTTGCACAGTCCGTCGTGGTTGCGGGCTTGAATGATGTCGTCCTCACGGGTGCCTTCCCAGCGACTGGGAGCGAGCTCTTGTATGTTATGATTCCCAAGGCGGGCGACGCTCTGGACCCCAACAACTGGACGTTTCCTGCTATCTGGGATATTGCATACAAGGTATTGGCCTGAATCTTGCACGACCGCCTCATGGCCATCTCGGAGCCTTGCCATGGCCAGCAGCAAGATCCATGGGGGTTTCGATTCGCCACTGGGACCGATCATGCGCTCTTGATACTTGAAACCGTCATTCAGAAATCCATCGAATTTGATTTGCCAGTCTTGGTCGTGAGCATCGATTCGGCTAAAGCTTTCGACAGGATTGAGCACTCTGCTTTATTCGCTGCCATGGCAGAACAAGGCGTTCCCGCCGAATACCGCGCGCTGCTGCAATGCTTTTGCACGAATCAGCGTGGCTCCGTCGATACTTGTATGTTCGACATAGAACGTGGAGTCAGACAGGGTGATGTCATCAGCCCGATGCTCTCCAACTCTGCGCTGAAAGCGGTAACGCGCAGGTGGAAGGCTCGGCTTGGCAATCACGGTTTCGTGCTCAGTTCAGAAAGCGAGAGACCGACCAACATCATGTATGCAGACGACCTGCTGTTTTTTGCTCAGTCTCTTGAGGACGCAGTGTTCATGCTCGATTGCCTCGTGGGGGAGTTGAGCAGAGCTTGTGTGTCTGTCGACGCGCGGAGAACGATGATCTTGACGACGGGTTTCAATGTGGCAACAGACGTGCCCCCACCTTTTCTCGATGCCGGAGGTGGGATGGTCGAGGTTGTCACGCGTGCGGACACGCACAAATACGTTGGCCTGTTATTGTGCGGCGAGTTCAGGATTCGAGGCAAGTGCAATCTGGACTATCGGATGAAGTGCGCTTGGCCGAAATACCATCTATTTGCCGCATCTTTTCAGAACCGCAACGTTCCGATCACATTAAGGTTGCGCCTGTTTGAATCGGTAGTGGCGCCGTGCGTTCTCTACAATCTGGCCACAGCACCTCTCACCCGGAAAGACCTCGACAGGCTGGACGCGTTGCAGAGGAAACTATTGCGACGCATTGTTGGATGGGTTCGCTTTGACGACGAAGCATGGCAGCTCACGGGTCGTCGCATGCAGCGCAGGTTGGAGGCGGCATTGGCACAACATCCCATTGAAGATCGGAGTCTTCGGCGCAGCGGACAGAGATATTCGATAGTACAACACCTCGAAGACGGATTTCTCTCGCAATGCTGTTCACTATCGTAAAATTGGCGACCGCTCCCGACGCGCAACCGCCGCAGACCACGCCTGAGATGAATCGACTAAACAATCGCTGTTCTACGAGGCGTTTGTCGTGAAGGTCCCCACGAATGACATCTGAAAGTTCCCTCCAGGTCGCCCCCCTCTGCACCCCTCCTCCCTTCCCCCCCCCTTCTGCTTCCGTCCCTGCTTGCCCCAGCAGCTATCGATGTCAGACGATCGCGATTTGGCGGGTGCCGGAGGCACGGGCCAACATTCCCCCCCGAGTTCTACATTGGCCCGACCTTCGGGCCGATAGGGCGTAGCGCAGCAAAGCCAGCATCCCTCGCCATGGGGGAAGCGGGTCTTGAGGGACACGGGTTTTGAGGCGTTATGCCGTTTTCGGGTTCCTGGGGCCCTCCGCGGGCCCCGGGATTCAGAAAACGACGCAGGATGATGAAGATCTCGTCTTGGGGGAGGGCCTCAGGGTCCAGGGCCCGTTTCCCACAGGACCCAGGACCCATTGTTTCCATGCTAGTCGGTGGCGAGCGAGGGGGGGAAGTGAAAAGGAGAAGGCCTTCTCACAAGGCTCGGATGTCCTCCGGCCTGCAGAGAAGTTGTTTTAAAGCTTTCCCGAAGACAAAACCAACTTCTCAGAAGGCGCGAGGGCTTCTGAGAAGTCCCGCCGCCTTCTGAGAAAGCCTTTTCCTTCTCACTTCCCCCCTTTGCTCGCCGCCAAGCTAAATATTTCCTCCCATCGCTTTTCCCCCTGCTCCTCCTCCCAGGCGGCTTTCGCGCGGCACCAGGTCGACCGTGGGACGCGTCAAACCAGTGGATGCATTAACCTGTTGTGTGCTTGTGTGCCTGAGTTTTTCGCGGTTCTGGGCCGCTCCTCTGCAGATGAGTGGAACAGTCTGGCCACATGGTACATGATGATGTACACGAGCGTTGTTGTTGCCAACGTACCATGCTTCGGCCTTTCCTGGGAAGGTTGTTCGGCGGTCCGACACTATCGAGGGGATCTCGGCCATCAACCCCGACTCCGCGTTCGAGGAGGTGGACGCGAAGGTGTCCCGCTGGGACGAGAGCTTCGTTGACGAGGCTTACTTGGGGGAGGAGAAGGGTACAGCAGGAAGTGGGACGAGGAACATGAGGAGGATGCCGATGGGAAGGAATACTTTAACATTGTATGATCTATTTACACATGTCCAGCGTAACCTTACCGCAGTGTCCAGGGGGGCCCTTGAGCGCCAGCCTAATGCCACGCAGGCAGGTGCTTGATCCAAACTAGTTTCTGTTGAGGTGGACCTTAAGGGTAAGGGTGACGGTGTCCGATGATTTCAGAGGCTTTCGGATGCGTTTTGTGTTTTGGTGTTCGGAAGTGTCGGGACGGCATCCTGATGTTCCCGAGTGTTTTCTGATTTTTGGGGGTGAGGTCTCGGAGGAGCAGCAGCAGGAGAAGGATGAGGGAGGAAGAGGCGCGAGGCGGAGGGGGGCTGGAGGTTCGTGTACTTGGGCGCTCCGCCCCGGGTAAAGAGAATTGCCCGCCCCGTCCTCCCCCCTGCCTGTCATCGGGGAGGCCCGGTGGACAACGGGCGCAAGCGCAGGGGGGTCGTCGTTCCTTGCCCGAGCGGCGTGGGGACAGCGGCGCCGACATCGCCAGTAGGTCCGCTCCCCGGCGGCGGGGGGAGGCTCACCGTGCATCCCGGAGCCGGAGGGCGGAGATGTCTCGAGGGAGCCGGGGGCCAGTGGACGCACGACTGGTGCTGGCGGAAAGAAGAAAAATCGCTTTCGCTGGCGACAGCCGGCGGAACGTCGCCAGGAACACCCGTCGCCTCTCTGCGCGCGGTGGGGGGGGAGTTCACATAGTTTTGTCAGCGTATGTGCCTTTGCGAGGCCACTGGCGGGGGCTCGAAGATAATCGTGCTTCGCTGCTCGCGGCCTGGGTCCGAGAGCTACCCTTCTCGACGGTGGCCTCGCGAGGGCGCGAAGATGACCTCGCATCATGCATCGCCAGTCGTGACGCCCGAGTGTAGGTGATGAAGACTTCCCCCGCCGATGCGGGAATCCCGTTGCCGTTGAGGTATCGTCTAAGTCCCCTAAGACCTCGCGCAAGGTCCAGACATGACTTACGAATATGGGTGATCGCACAGCTTGTACCTTGACCGTGCGCTTCCCTAATGCGTTCAGCACGTGTGGTGACTCAGTGTATGGAAGTCGCGCTCGTGTAATCAATCACTTTGAGTTCATTGTCTCTGAGAAGGTAGACGGAAGACTTCGCGTCTTGCTTGTATTGTCATTGTGTTTGTTTGTTGTTTTGGCAGGGAACTGCCGCTTCCACCATCGCCCTACCAGTGGAATCAATATGACCCCTCCGCCCCTCAATTCCTCCTCCTCCTCCTCCCTTCCCCTTCATTCCCCCCCTCCTTTTCCTCTCCATCCCCATCCCCCTCGTCCTCGAGACTGCCTTTCCGTCCCGACTCCACTCCACGGCCAGGTCTGGCACGGCAAGGGTGCACGAGAGGAAGCCGCAGCGAAAGCTGGAGCCTTGTGTCCGACTGACGGGTAGGCGAGGAAGGCGGGGCCCATTTCACAACGCCATGCGGCTCTTCTCTCCCAGCAAGAGGTGGGGCGAGGCGAGGAGGGGGGGGGGCGGTTGGGAAGGGGGGCGGTGGGGAAGGGGGGGGGATCTGGGTCCCTGGGTGCGGTCTTCTCGGGCCGCACCGGGGGCCTCGCAGAAGCCGTCTCGGGCCGCGTGCGGGGCCTCTCGGGGGGCTCCCTCGGGCGAGAGGCCCCCGGGGGGCCCCGAGGCCGTCTGCCGTCCTGGTCCGCGGGATGGGCGCGGCGCGGGCCCCCGTCGCCTGCCCGCCCGCTGGAGCGGCCACAGGCCATCACCTTCGGGAGCCCGATGCACAGCTTCGAGGTGCACGGTGCGGAGCCCTGTGTGGAGACAGGACGGGCTTTCTCTCCACAGTTGTCCTGGACATGCCGTGGCAGCGGTGAGCGTTTCTTTTTCCTCCCCGGGGTAACGCTCAACCGGGCCGACCCCCTCCCCCCCCGCCCCGCGGGTGACGCTGACGATCGTACAGGAGGGGGGAGGGGCCTGGGCACCCCCCTACATGTTGTGTTGCACACGGGCGCGTGATGCGCCGGTGGCGCGAACGCACCCTGGCGGGTGCACGCCGCGGCCGCCATTACCGTTACTCCCCCCGCCCGACCCCCCCCCGGTAACGACCGCTATCCAGTAAAAAGAAAGAGTCACTCTGGGCCCGCGCACCATACCCACAGCACAAGCGTGCGATGGGAGAGGCAACGATGGTCAAGAAAGTGAGACGCAACAAGGCAGATGCGCCTCCAAACCGCGAGCGGGAAGCTTTCTTCCCCCTCCCCTTCCCTTGGGCGGCCCTTTGCTGCGACCGCTGCCCGTCCTGAGGCCAGCCGGGCCAGTCTTCCCGGCGTTTCCATTGGGTTTGGCTCCAGCTGGCGCCGCCCGCTTTGGTCAAGTCACAGGCGGCGGCCGACTGTGAAGCGCAGCGTTCAAGAGTAGTGAAATAGGAGACCAAGAGAGGCTGAGAAGGAGGAGGAAGACGAGGAGGAGGAGGACGGACTTGCATTTCGATATGTTATTTTTCGATAGCATATATGTACAAAATGAAGGGCAAGCCCGAGCACCACAAGCAGTACAACACCGATTCTTACGACAGTACCTAATCGCGCCACCAAGACCAGTACATGACGTTGTCATGGCCACGCACGGATGTGAGTGAATGGTCTTCCCGCGGCACATCATTCATTTTACACGCCTCGAGCACGTGTCTTCCACACATCCGGATCGTCAACAGGATCGTCATCATGAAATTTCGCCCCGTGCTTGCCACTGCACATTAGGCCATTACAGCAAGCGGCCTTCACACAGCTTACATACGATGCCGCAGCACTGCTGCTCAAGTTGTTCAGATTGGCACCGTTGCTATGCGCACTCCATATTTTGACCACCGTCGCCATACAAAGTGATTTTCTGGCGCCCTACAGCTTGACACATGAGGATGTTGGAGGAATGGTCTTGCACACCGCGCGTCGCATGAGCAACAACACGGGATATGTCACATGAAGCACTACGAGAAAAATCTACGACCACATACGCGATCGCTTTCACATTCTCGAGACACGACTGGTCTGTAGCCAATAATTCGAAGACGACGGGTACGATACATAACCACCATTATGTTCGATCAAGCGGTTGACACCGAACAACAGACCGCTACAGCGCGCAGCTACATCAACTCAGCATTGCGACCCAGCAGCTGGAGCCACATACAGAATGCAACTGCAGCAAACCACACAATGTGAAGTTACCAATATCAACATAGACAGGACGTGTGTTAATGTCCCACCACACATTGGGCACGAAAACGTACCAGTGCCCACACCAAATGGCTGGGCCTACGAAGTTCAACAGTGCCACATCACGATTACAGCTATCCCTGCTATCGGCCACAAGTACTGCCAGATGCTCGGCCAGCGACGCAAAGGAGTTCAAACCAGGTGAAAGAGAACGCGTTGGCATGGTATTATACACAGTCATGTGTCACGGTGGCCTTACGACATCCAATGTTACCACTCTGCTTTGCATTGGCGCGAGGGGCTGCTATTCGTATTTCGAGACATAAGACCCTGAGCTACGACACGAACGTATCATAGCTCTTACTTGGATTGAGATTCCTGGTGGCATCGACGACGGCCTAGTATGTCTACGGCATCCGCGCTAAAGCGCCGACGGTGCCGAGAAGTACCTAAAAAGGACACACTACATGATTAGCCACTGACAGCAGACCAAGCGTTACCAGTTCGCCATCGACGAGAACACCAGCATACACATCACCCACCAGACACCGATAACAACGCGCCCCTGAGCCCCATGACCAACGGCGTCAACATCATATCGGTTGGTCCGCAGCTACTAGCACACAGAAGCCTACTACGTGCCGACGCATTGCGCACTTCAGGCGCGGCAGTTCTACAGCTCTACGTCCACCAGTGGCCACTGCGGTCCTAGACAGGACGCACATGCACATTGCACCACCATCTACACACGACCAACCAAGTTACGTAGAACTCAGAGCAGCACCGCACCACACGTGCGACATGCTCAACCAGTGGTCGGGCATAGTACCCGTAACACCAGCACTGCAATCAACGGTTCCGACGACGCACCCAGAGTTTTTTTTTTTTTTTTTTTTTTTTTTTTTTTTTTTTTTTTTTTTTTTTTTTTCTCATTTGCGCGTGACAGGCCCGAGTGCCTTGCCACAGTAGGTGAGTTTTGATTTGCACCGTTGGGAAGCATTTGCCGACGAGATCACATGGCATGTGTGCTTTCAGCTGAACACGCGTTACACTCCGCACCTACCATTTACATGCCGCATCCAATGGGGGCGGCCTTCAACTGCAGACCGCCTGCCGATGTATGCAAGATCCCCACGGATATCGTCAGCGACCGCGCGTTCTACATTTGGATGCAGAAAGAGTTCGAACGGCGGCGGCGGATGGATCAATCAGACTGCGAATGCCAGTATAGGGTTCGGATACAATGTATTGGACACGTCTTGCCAGCGCCACCAAACAAGACGGGACCACGCATCGGCTTTCGCAGGCCAGGACCACGACAAGATGCATTCGCACCACCGCGACCTACTACCACCCAAGCCTGATCCACCAATGCCCCAAAACCACGACGGCACCACATGTCCCAGCGACAGCGACAGCACCGCCGTTGGTGCCAACCAACCCATGGAGGCATAGCCACGCTCGCTCACCGCTAGTGCCGATTGACCTTATACATCAGATTATTACACCGCACGACGACGACAGCCAGCACGACTACAAGAGCGACCACGACAGCGACAAGGACGACCACAGAGACGTTTCCAAGCCCATCACGTTAGAACCACCACCCCCACACCAAGGTCGCGACGCCCACTGTCCGACAGGCGGGAAGGCGTGCAGACCCACGGAAGAGCACACGGGCGAAGACAGTTGAAAGGAAGAGGACACCATCTACGCTCTTAGATGTCCTAGATGTCCGCTTGTTGATGGACGCGTGGCACGGGTACCTCGACAAATTCAACCGCGAGTACCTTCTCAGCAACTCCTGCCCGCGCGCACTGCCGCGCCCGCCCATTCAGTCAGACGTGGCTATTGCACCGTTGTCGACCTACCCACTCGCACCCACAGAGCCAATCGCGCACTTTGCTCGAGGACGCCGTCCACCCTGACGCGCACCTATCACCGCACCTCCCAATCGGACAGAAGCATCGAAGCAACCATTGGGTGCGCGGCTCGAAGAAGTGGCGTCTTTTCACAAGCAGGCGATGGCTTCAAATTGCCAGTCGCACCTTTCGACCAGTATACCCGCAACAAGATCGACGCGCCAGCGACTGCAGCTGATGCCCGTACCTCCAGAGCTACAGTTACCGTTTTGCAATGGCGGCCTCCTTTCCTACCAGACTGGCGACTGGGCGGTTAGCCTACATCAGACAGCGCACTCATTCTGCGCATCCTCGGCCACAACGACATGCCCTTCGGAATCGCCGAAGCACCTGCGCCGAGGTCTCCCCGCGACAGGATCGACCACTCCTGCGCCGCACCATCGCCGCCACGCCAGGATGCGCAAGCTTCTCAACCAGGAGACATGCCAACGACCAACCAGCACCCAGACAACATGCCGACTCCAATACCGCAGGCCACAACTGGCAATAGGGCAGTCCGTAGCCCAATGCACCCGCCACCACCGCTGCTCAAGACCCCTGCGATATGCCCACCACCTACCGCAGCAATTGTCCAACGGCGGCTCGCGGACATTCCACCAGAGAGACGTGCGCCACAGACGCGGGCGAACATCTACGCCAGCTCCCGCCCGATGGCTCCACTGGCCATGCGCGACGGTCAAACTGGCTCCACGCCAGTGCCTACGCGCGCTGGACGGCGTGGCGCGCAGTATGTGGACGACGCCAATGAACCGCGACTACATACTTACGCAGGACGAAAGATTTTCCTCTTGAGGTGAAAATGGCCATGAGGAGTTCGCGAGACAACGTCGGCGCCGGAACGGACGGCGACCAGACGAGCTGTTTGCAGCAACCGGGATGAAAGGGATGTATGGTATCATTTTGAATGGGGCCCGCTCGCGCGGGGAGCTGATGGGAGTGCGCGAGACGACGCAGCGCCCATCGTGGAAAGTAAATTACCGAACCTCCCATCCCCCGTATAATCTTAACACGGGCGGTCTGCGGGGTCCGCGGATCCGATTGCTTCCGGCTCCTTGCTTTAATTTAGTATTATAAACTTAAAACAGGGTAGAAATCGGATCCGCCGTGAAGAATAAGACCGAACACGGATCCAGCAAATCCGAAATCGGATCCGCGCGGACGGAAATCGGATCCACCGAAACACACACCAAAACCAAATGTGGACCCGCGCGAACTTCATTGGATCCGACGGCGGGTATCTCACACGCGTCTGCTTAAGACTTCAAACCTTCGCTCCGGGCCCAAGAGGAAAAACTTTTGTCCTGGGGATGTGCAACTTGGGCACAACTCACGACCACCGGCGCTGGCGTCGGCGGCGGCTGGCGGCAGCGACGCTTTTCTGAGCGGGCGCCGGCGCTTGCGGGGTCTGGCGGCAGCTGGGAACGTGGACGGGGACGACGGCGGCGACGATGACGACGACGGCGACGACGTTCTGCCACCGTGCCTTGGCTTTGGGCCAGAGTCCTTATGGATGCCTCTCGGGGTCTCGTCGGACGGCTTTCGGGGGCGTCTGAAGGGCACTGATGAAGCCTCCTGGGCGCCTCTTGGGCGTCTACTGGGGCTTCTCTGAGGTGGTGGTGTTGGTGGGCTGTGGTGGTGGTGGTGGTGGTGGAAGGTGGTTCTGGCGGTGGTGCGGTGGTGGTGGTGGTGGTGGTGTGGTAGTTTGTGGTGCTGGTGGTTGTTGTGGTGGTGGTTGTGGTGGCAGGTTGACGTGGTGGTGATGGTGGTTGTGGAGGTGGTGGTGGTGGTTGCTGTGGTGGTTTCTGGTGGTGGTGGTGGTAGTCGTGGTGGTGGCGGGTTGTGGTGGTGGTGGGGTTGGTGTGGTGGTGGTTTGTCTTGGTGGTTGTGGTCGTGGTGGTGGTGGTTGTGGTGGTGGTGGGTTGTGGTTTGTGGTGGTGGCGGTGGTGGTGGTGGTGTGGTGGTTTGTTCTGGTGGTGATGGTTGTGGTGGTGGGTGGTGGTGGTGGTGGTGGTATGGTGGTTTGTTGTGGTGGTGGTGGTGGTGGTTCTGGTGGTGGTGCTGGTTGTGGCGGTGGTGGTGGTTGTGGTGTGGTGGCTTTTGGTGGTGGCGGTGACGGTGGTGATGGTAGTGCGTTGTGGAGTTGGTGCTGGTGGTGGTGGTGGTGGCGGTGGTGGTGGTGGTGTGGTGGTTTGTGGTGGGTTGTTTTGGTGGTGCAGTGGTGGTTGTGGCGGTGGTGGTGGTGGTGCCGGTGTATTGGTTTGCAGTGGTCGCGGTGGTGGTTGTGGCTGCGTTGTGGTTTGTGGATGTGGTGGTGGTGTGGTGGTTTGTGGTGGTGGCGGTGTGTGTTGCTGGTGGTGGTGGTGGTTGTGGTTGTTGCGGTGGTGGTGGTGGTGGTGTTGTAGATTGTGGTGGTGGTGGTGGTAGTGGTGGTGGGTTGTTGTGGTGGTGGTGGGTTGTTTTGGTGGTGGTGATGGTGGTGGTGGCTGTGGTGGTGGTGGTTGTGTGATGGTTTGTGCTGGTGATGGTGGGTTGTGGTAGTGATGGTGGTAGTGATGGTGGTGGTAGTGGGTGTGGCGGTTGTGGTGGTGGCGTGGTGGTTTGTAGTGTTCGTGGTGATAATAGTGGTGGTGGTGGTGTTGGTGGTGGTGGTGCTGCTGCTGGTGGTGGTGGTGCTGGTTGTGGTGGTGGTGGGTGGTGGTAGTGATGGTGGTGGTGGTGGTGTGGTGGTGGCGGTGGTGGTGTTGTGGTTTGTGGTGGTGGTGGAGGGTTGTGGTGGTGATGGTGGTGGTGGCGGTGGTGGCGATGGTGGTGGTGGCGGTGTGGTGGCTTTTGGTGGTGGTGGTGGTGGTGGTTGTGGTTGGTTGTGGTGGGTTGCGGTGGTGGTGGTTGTGGCGTTTTTGATGGTTTTGGTGTAGTTGTTTGTGGTGATCGGGGTGGATGTGGTGTTGGTGGGTTGTGGTGGTTCTGGCGGTTGTGGTTTTGGGTTGTTGTGGTGGTGGCGGTGGTGGTAATGGTGGTGGTGGTGGTTTGGCGGTTTGTGGTGGTGGTGGTTGTGGTGGGTTGTGGTGGGTTGTGGTGGTGGTGGCGGCGTTTTTGGTGGTGGTGGGTGGTGGTTTGTGGTGATGGTGGTGGATGTGGTGGTGGTTGGTTGTGGTGGTTGTGGTGGTGGTGGCGGTGGTGGTGATGGTGTTGTGGTTTGTGGTTGTGGTGGTAATACTGGTGGTGTGGCCTTCGGGTCTTCCCGCCAACGTGTTTTGGCGTTGGGTCAGAGTTCTGATGGATGCCTCTTAAGGTCTCAGCAGAGGGGTCTCGGGGCGTCTGCGGAGCACTTGTTAAGCCTCCTGGACCTTCCGAAGGGCCTCTCGGTGGCTTCTGGGGGGCGAGGGCTCGATATGGCGATTTGTGTTTCCCTTCTGCGGCTTATGGGCCCTCTCTGGTCATCGTCGCTGCGTCCCCGCCGTCGGCGCTGGTGGCCGCCGCCAGCGCCAGCGTCCCCGCCGTCGGCGCTGCTGGCCGCCGCCAGCGCTGCTGGCGCTGGCGCCGGCTCCGGGGGGGGGGGTTGGACTTCCCCTTTTGGGAGGGGTGGGGGGGGGTTTGGGGAGGGGGGGGTTAGTGGGGAGGGAAATTGGTTCTGATCGACGGCGCCGAATGTTGTGGTGGGCCCCCCCCCGATTCGAAACACGCCGCCGAATGCTCCCAAGGCAAGCGCCCGTGAAACGCGCTTTCTCAACGCTACCAGCAATACCTAGCAGAAGTTGCCTTAATAGATTTACGACACCAGGAGACCCGACACCGGGACGAGATCATCGTGGCGCTCAGCTCCACCAGTGCCCATGTTCAAATTACCGACGGCAGAGCACAAAGCGCTACATGCACCGAAGCCAAGGTTTCCGACGCACAGAAGAGAAGGACCATATTGGGGAAATGCTCCCTCCTGTGCGTCAATTCCTGCACGGACTTCAACTACTGACCTAGATCTTCTTACCTTCTCTCGCAAGCGTTGCGCCCTCTGCCCCTGTTTGGCTTGGGGCCCGCCTAAGTCTACTCCGCTATTCTCTTACCTGCTCACGCCTGGATTTCGTCTTACTCTTCTTTACTTTCACCCGTCAAAGGACAAAATGGTTTGTGGCTAACCAGAAACAACATGGCCAAACGCATGAGGGTCCCGCCACCGAGGAGGTTAGAAGTTAGGGGTGAACCGATGGAACCCTTGATAGCAGCCCCAAAGTGATACGAGTGGCTGACTTACCATCTTAACTCTTCCCTATTTCCATGTAGTGGTCACAGGCCAGCCAACAATAATTGCGCAAGTCTCAGATTCCGTTCTGCTTCCTTCATGATTTTGAAGCACAGCGCCTCATCTGTAGGACTTCGGGGGGGAGAACCTTGGGGATTGGTGGAGACTGGGGCGGGGAGGATCGTCGGTGCTTTCCAATCACGGGGTAGAGCAGCGCGCGGCCACTTTCCGCAGCTCGCGCTTGTGCGATGACTCCAGCAGGCTGGCCATCTCGACTTGGCGAGCCTCGCCGCTGGGGGAAACGAGTTTTCGTTAGGGGTGGGTTCACTGAGGTGGGGGGCTGGGATGCGGAGAAGCCGCAGTGCTCCGCTACCGCCCGGTAGAGCACTGAGCAGCAATTATTGTGCAGCTCGTGCTGCTGAAAAACCTAAAGCCAACCATTCGACCTGTCAAGCCTGTACTGGGAGGGCGGGTTGACGTGGGATTGGGGCACTGGGGAGGGGGGGAGCAGGCAGCCGTATATCCCCCCCCCCGGACTACAGGGCGTGGCCCCACCGCTTTTGGGCTGCCAGACGCCGTGCACGCTGCAGCATATTTTGCGCGATGCGCATTGCCGTTTTTGCACCAACACTCACCCAGCTGCCATGCGCAACGTCGGCCAGCCGACACTGCCGGAGCCAGCCACACGCATCAGAATTAGTAAGCGTCGACGACGCAGGCCAGCAGAAGTGCATAGTTTCGTCTCTAACTTACCACATGAGCCACAGCACCAACACTCATCGGCTTCTATATATATATAATTTGGCCAGCCAGCATTGCCTGAGCCAGCCACAGCACCAGCATCAATACAGATGACGTCGCAGACCAGCCATTTCAACTCGGGAAGCCTCGCGGCGCCGCGTACAAGTATGCTACCTCGGTCATCGCTTGCCCTTGCGATGCAGCATCTGACCACAGGGGGGTTGGGTCTTGTTTGGATGAGAAGGGACGAGGACGGGGAAGTAGCAGGCCCAGAACTTTGCAGATATAGCTCAGCCGTTATCACCATCAGTCTCCCTACCGTACGCCTCAGCCCCTCTCTAAGCTTCAGCGCAGAAGTGTTCAAATCAGATATGCTGGTTGTTGCCATTTTGCGGGGAAGTAGCGGACGAGCCCTCAGGGCCCACCCACTTTGGACTATTTACCACAGCGCCACTTTGGATTGGCAGTTTTCATCCCATCAGTCCAATTATCGCCGTGTGCTCTGACTTTGCCACGTGCCATGCATTACCGCATAATCAAATAACCCCAGGCGGGTTGTGCGATTGGTGTAGGTTCTGGGGTGGAGGAGGAGGAGGAGGAGGAGGAGGAGGAGGAGGAAAAGGGTCATGGGAAGCACGCGGGAACGCAAAATATGTACGATCCGCCTTCAGTGATGGCCGCCATCCAGAACATCCTTTCGCTGGGCCTGGCGTATGTGACCCAGGGCTCCTGGCTTGGAAGATCTGGATCCGTCGACCAGGGCTCCAGGGTGTCATCGGGTCGGTCCGTCGATTAATTGGAATCGGAACGATCGACAGTGGCCCCGAGCGGCTAGGCGATCCGCGGTTTGCATTGGATCGTGTCTTTCGGATCACGATCACAGCTGGGTCGAGGGCCATATTCGCTCGGTGGTGGTGCGTCTAAGGTGCTAACGACGCACCCACTTCGAAGCTAATCGCGCTGATGGGCAGAGATCGTGCTACGCTGCCCCTCAGCGAGTACGACGAGTTCTTGCAGGACTGAAGGGGGGAGAATTGTATAGAGCACGGGCAAGAGGAGGATGGATGATGATGAAGCGGATCTCGAGGTGGAGGAGGAAGGGAAGGAGAATGTGGAGAGAAGGGTCTGAGGAAATTGGCGGGGGAATGTTTGTCTGTGCAGTTGGTGCACTGTCGAGGAAAGCGTTGTTCTTTTCATTTCGTTGCTTCGACCAACTTATTTGCACTACATTACTACGTATGTGCATCCTTGAGCTAGTTCGTACTGCATGACTAGCTTGATGACTTGAAGTGGCGCTAGCGGGAAAGCCTTCTATAGCATTTCCTACCGTATTGTATGCGTAGTGTTGCAGCGTTCGGGACAGCAACATGTAGTATTGGCAGTGGTTTGTGAAATACTGCATATCGCAATGCATACCACAGGATAGGGTGGCATAGTGTTGGTTTGTTCCTGGCTCGACTTCCCAACATGCATGTGTTGCCTTGGCGCCTCTCGCAAGCAGGCAGAAAGGGCCTAGTTGTCAGGCCGCACCGAAGGCGTACCCTCTTGGGGGGTAGTACTTAGGGTGCTGGAACCCGGCGCGTAGAGCAGGGTCCACATGTAAAGTGTTGGCGACGTGCCGCATACGATGCCATGTGGCTATGAAGTGTTGCATGCATCGGTTCGCTTCTGCTGCACCCCGATCATGGGCACATGATACAGTTTGTATCGTCGCCATTCGTGCTCGTCCTCGACCTTCCCCCCGTTCCCCACCCCTCATCATCAGTATCATCCTCCGTGCTCCTCGACGTCCTCACCTTCCTACTTCTATTCCCCCATGTTGCCGTCCTCATCACCGTTGTCCTTCTCTACCTTCTCTTCGGTCGCATCCTGAATGTCCTTCCTTGTTCTCCCTCCACCTTCACCTCCCCATTCTCATTCTCCTTCTCCACCCTCACGTCCGTCCCCCTCCGTCAACCGCTAACCTAAAGCGCTACGTGTTTATTTCAGAGCGGCTCTGCGTGCGTTATGCATATTCGGCGGGCCGGGGCCAGGGGCCCGGGGGCAGGGACCCCGATCGCAAATTAGGGCTCTGGGGCCAGTCCCATTGTCTAGGGCTCCCAGGCCGCTTCCAAGTTGAAAGAATACATCCAAGATGGCCCAAGATGGTCTTAGGTCAGCCCAAGATGTCCAGAATATTGTCCGATTGGACCTCAAGACTGCCTAGGAAGGCGCCGCTATTGTCCAGGAAATTCCGACAACATGTGTTCTGAAGCAGTTTGACATTGTCCCTATTTCGGATTACAGAGCGTAATGAACGGCCGAAGATGCCCCCAAGACCGCCCTAATCACCAGCACTGCTACAAATGGTCCCATAATTTCCCAAGATGGCCTCGGGATGTCCCAGGATAAGAATGCTCCAACGCGGTCCACGAGACTTCCAATATTGCAGCCAGCGTGCTTTTGTTTCGAGGCCCACGGTTCCACCTTTTTCGGACACGGCCCCTTTCCCAATCGATGCAGGGTGTTCCAAGACAGATAGAGCTTCGGCTTTCACGAATTGCGCGCCCGATTGCTCTAGAAGAAAATATCGGCCAGGAACGGACATACACACAACGGTATTACTCATGTGTGTATGTGTGTGGTATTGTGAGTATGTTTACACAATCACGCACATGTACATATAAAGTTAGATATGCATGTATGCCTTTTATATATATACATACATAGAGAGAGGGAGAGAGGGGACCAGTATTGGAGCTTTCCACGGAAGGAGCGTATCTGTATTTCCCCACACATCAACCTATTTGAAAGCTCCTCGCATTTGACATGTATGTCTAAATCCGTTGTGGAGTCTTCCTCTGCCCCCAGCAATGCACGTGTACTGAGCGAGGAAAGGGTCACAGAGCAGCAGATGCTCGCAACATTTCGTCGCAGGACGCCTTGACGGCATCGCAACTTCAGTACAAGACCCAAGGGATAGAGAGATAGAGAAAGAGAGAGAGAGAGATCCCGAAAGGAACTTTATGATAGGCGAGGGACTCAAGAGGGGGGAAGGAGCATCAAAAAGAGGCCCGCAGTAAGACCCTCGGAGTCCGAGCCGCAATATGACCCTCGGGGCCCGGGAGGGTGAGCCACACTCGGAACCAAGCTGTTTTCAGTGGTTTTGTCTTCGGAGCGGCGCTCACGTTGGCAGCTACAACGCTGGGACCATGCGGGACTCCAAGAGAAAAATTCCAACATAACAATTTTAGAAGGACTCAGGTGTGCCAAAGAAGTTCCCATGATGGGGCATGAGGGCCCCAAGTACCCCCCTAGACGGCAAGAAGACCCATCATGGCCGCCCCAGGATGCTGTCTCCTGTTTTTTGTTTTCCTTCGCGCGCCACGAGCCCACCACGCCATGGCTGCGAGGATAATTACGAGCCAAAGGCCGCTGAGCGATTGACCCCCCTGCTCGGCACCTCCTCCCTCTCCTGCACCTCCTCCTGTGGCGGCCGCAGGACAGGAGACGGCGCGATCGGCTGAAGGACGTGTGCCGCGTTGTGCGGGCCGTCAGGACGTTCTCCTTCTCGCGCGCGGCTGACTCGGGGAGGATGCGCCCGAGATGCCCCGCGCGCGTGGCCGCACAGCCCGATCCGCAGACCTGTCAGCCTTGGCCAGGAATCGTGCGCAATCAGGTCTTGGACCGCGGCAACTAAGCGAGTCCAAGCACTGATGCCGAACATCCGATCACAAAGGGCTGCTCGTCGCAAGATGGTCGCCCAGCATATTTGGGCCACTCGAGCTCATGCTGAGGCTGACCGCGCAGGGGACGTGGGACCTTGCGAGGCAGCCAAACACTCTGGCGGTGTCTAGACGGCGCGCGGCCATGACGGACCGTCTGCGTATGGGTGCCCGCCCCAGGCTCATATTGCGCCACAGTTGGGTCAAATCGCCCTGGCCGTCCAGCCGTGTTTTGGGGGTTGCCCAATCGTTTGCAGGGCCCAGGGGGGAAGGTCAATTCGATCACTCCTTTTATCGTTCTCCTCCTTTGCCTCGACAAGTATGGTTGTTCTCAGTTTGCCGCCAGCACCGCTTGCCCAGCTGGTGCGTGAGGAAGAGGACGAGGAGGTGGGATGCAGTCAGAAGACGATTCGCGCACCCTGGTGCGGGTGGATGTAAGTGTGAATTATATGGGGGCAGGTGCACAGAGATGTGAACACCAGCATCGGAAATGCAAACATGCGGTTCACGATAGATCAGCGTTGGTAGCATGCAGCAGGTGAAAGCATACGTGCACCTCGGTCTAAGTTTGGAGCGTGTAGCTCACGTGAAGGACGGGCGTCAACACCACGCGCTATATCAAGTATGAGTGTGGTAACACAATGTTGTCAGGTCTGATTTTTATCATGCTATGCGCTCTCAAGCTCCATGGTACATACTGCGGGTGGATCCCAAACGGTTGCCATTTCGCACAGTCTTGTACGCGCAGGGGCCAGGGCAGGACGGCAGCAGAAACCAGCTGATGAACGTGTGCCATAGCAGGTTTTTGGAAGTTTGGGTGGGGTGCGGACTGTGAGAGATATCTCGCAATGAGACCGTGTTGGTTCTGCAAGGGGCGCTTGTAGTTGTAGAAGGTAAGCCTGGTGCCCTGGAGCATGCAACGCATTCAGCCGTTCATGCAAATTTCCCGATATCCCACTACCCAATCATTAACGCGTGTCCTGTGTCCGTCAACTGCGCCTCTAGCAGCGCAGTGCTTCCCAAATGGTACATTACGCGTGTGCGCAGACGTCTGCGAGGCCCCATGGCTAGATTGTATTCGGATGCACGTTGATGAACGCACCCTCCCACAAGGTGCCTCACCCCCAGGACTCTCGAACCCGTCACTTGCGGCCGGTTTTTCATCTGGACCCCGTCGACGAGAAAGGGTCTCCACAGGATTAGATTTAGGGCACGCCAGCCGCCTAGATTTGCCCCGCGACGCCAGAGAGCTGGGGTGTGCTCAAGAATAAAGCCCCTCTGCAAGGAAGAAGGGACAGCGTTTGGCGTTGACGGTGAACACGGACTTTGAGGGTACGCTCAAGGCGTTGAAGGAGGGCGGGCGGGCGATCACCTTGCCTAGAGGGGTTCGGACCTTGGACGGCTTGCCTGTTGCACCCGTCTGCGCTCGCATGATATGGATCCTTTCCGACCGCTCCCTCCCCCCAAACATGTTCTACCCTTCCCGCCTCTTTCTGCGCCCCCCTCTTGCTTCCTCCACCTTATCCAGGCTTTTATCCTCCTTGTCCCCACCCACCCTCCTCGTCATATCTCTCCACCGCCATCCTTTGCTCCTCCAGTCTTCCTTCTCCTCTCCCTCCACCTCCCACAGCCTTCTCCAGCATCCTCCAACCCTGCTCCAACCCTCCTCTAACCTCCTCGCACTCCTTTCGCCTCCTCTTTCTCAGCTCCCCTGCTTCGTCCGACAGACGATTTCTTTCCGTTGACTTCGTCCTGTTTCTCCTGCGGCTGGAGGCAGTTAGTGGGCAACAGTGGCGAATCAAACAGTGAAGGGTTCCAGTCACAGGAGAGTTGCCACCCTGACTGCAACTCTACACCTGCACACGGTCGGCCCAGCGGCGGCTGATGTCGACATGTGCGCGTTGGGGGTCCTGTGTGCAGGCGGCAGCGGCCGCTACTCGACATTCAGGCTCTAGCGGCAAGATATACCCTGAAGTCGCAAGATTTCAACAGCGTAATGGTTTTGGGCCGCACACAGGAGCGACGGATGAGCATCAGAGAAAATATGTGTGCACTCTGTTACGCAGAGAAGCGGCTAAACGGGTCTCGCAGCACTATTGCACCATTGTGGCGCCCATGGCCGCGCGGTGCGGGCGCCCAACCACGGCATGCGATCGTGCAGAGGCCCGTGCGTTCTCCCGATGCGGACGCGGTCGTGTTCGCAAGATAGCGCTCTGAGGCAAAGGATCATTTGATAGGGGGGGGGGCATGCCTCTCGGTGTTGTGGCGCTGCCGCGATCGCCATCGTTCGCCGTGGTCAGATGGCCGCGCAGGCAGCCCGACGTCGCGCGGTGACTGCTGAGCAGTGCGTATGTGATCCTAGACGACCGGGGCGCAAGGCCCACGGCAGGCTTGGCAACATAGCAGTTGCACGCAGATGTGTGGGTGCCTTCGTGTGAGAAGCGCGAGGAGGAGGATGAGGAGGAGGACCAGGGCGAACAGGCGGGGTTGAAGAGGTCGGAGGGGAAGGGGCATGATACATCGGTGCCTGTGTCGTTGTTATTGTCCTTGTGTGGTGGCGCGCGACCCTTTCATGCGCGCGGCGCTGTCCTGTCCTCCTCCTCCTCCCCCACCATCCGTCTCCTCCCTCGTTCCGATTGACATCGTTTCTTTATCTTCGGCATCTCCCTCCCTTTCCTTCTTTTCTTCCCAATCCTGATCTTCCTCCTTCCTTCTCGTATTACTATTCATATTCCCTCGTGCCTCTTCTCTCCCTCAGTTTCTTCCTCCTCCGCCCTAATCCTCTTCCCCCCTTTCCTCCTCGGCTTCTGCGTGTGATGGAGTATCTCGCTGCCGGCAGTGCTCCCGCTTCGTGTTCTCGAACTATGTGTCTCCCCCAGCTCCCTCCCAACTTCGCGAACCTCTCATGCGAATCCGACGTCCGTCCGTTTATGTCCCCCCACCCAAGGTGGGCCAGGATGGAGGAACAGATTGTCCACAAAACTGCTGTGGATGTCGTGAACACAATCGAAGACCCCTACGGCGAGTCACCGCCGCTTCCTCCCTTGTCAAAGCCTGCGTGTCGTGAAATGTCGAGCCTTAAGTGCGGCCACGCAAGCGGACTGCGTGTGCCTCCAGCTGTCGGGGAGACCGCTGGATAACACTTGGGAGGGCCCCTTAGGGGCCGTCTTGGTGCCTCTTTGGGGCTCGTATCTAACCTTTTGGGCTTTCGTGGGGGCCTCCTGGTGCCCTCTTGGGCCACCTGTGTGTGGGCTCTCTCAGGGTGCGTCAGAGGGCGGTCTTGGGCCGTCTGACGCCTTGGGAGCCGTCTTCGAGGCCGTTCTGGGCCGTATTGTGGTTCTCTTCGGGCCCTTCAAGGCCGTCGTGGTGCTGGCTGCTGGACCTGTTCGGCCGTCCTGGGGACCTTTGGCGCCATTTTGGGGTGATGTTGGTGGCCTTTCTGGACCGTCGTGGGCAGCCCTGAAACCGAAAAGAACCCGAACATCACTGAAGCACCAGTGACACGTCAGTGATGTTTGTCTCGATGCCTTCCCTCTCGGGTGGCCTCTGTGAGCCTTCTTGTGACGTCTCGGGGGCAGAACGGGCCGCCCCGAAGTCAAAGTGACTGGCCTTGAGGCCTTGCTGGGCCTCTTGAAGACATGTTGAGCCTACTCCGCGGCAGTTTTGGCCATCGTGAGCCAACTTCCGAGATAGGCCGAAACAAACACATGGAGTGCGGCGGGGGCGTTGGTTAAGGAATGCGTCCAGGGGCCCCAGACCCTGGGGGATTCCTTGTCCAATGAGGGCGGCAGTGATATCCATGGCCGCTTCACATTGGCTTTCTACTGGCTTCCTGACCCTGGATTCCTTATCGAAGGCTTCCTTATCAAATCCAATGCCTCCACCCACCGTCCGTAGCGATTTTGGCTCAAGGTCATGGAGCGCCCGACGACCGCGAATCGTCCGCGGCGTTTCAAACGCGAGGGGCTCTGCGCCAAGAGCCTAAGTGAATTCGGGTGGAGTTTGACAGCTGGCGGGCGCGCGGCAGCGGCGGGATGGTGGCTCCTGCTGTTGGTACTGTTGCTGCTGGCGCTGGCGGTGGCGCGCGCAGTGAAAAGGGTGACGGCTCCTTCTGGTGGTGCTCGTGTGGACTGGAGCTAACTATTGCATTTGCCTGCGGTGCTTCGGCTCACCTGTCAGGCCAGGCCCCTCCCCCGTGGGCGGTCAGGCGCGTGGCCAGCCAGCCGCCCGAGCATGACGCCGACGGCTTCGTCCAGGCTGGCAAAGGCAAGCGGTGCCGCAGCAAGGCACGCGCAGCTGCTGCTGTTGCTGTTGCTGCTGTTGCTGCTGCTGCTGCTGCTGCTGTTGCTGCTGCTGCTGCTGCTGCTGCTGCTGCTGCTGCTGCTGCCGCCAACCCCGCCACATCAGGAGGTGGAGGCGGCCGCAAAGCCTCGCCTGCCGCTGCGCGGCCGTCCCGAATGGCGGGCCATCGGGCATCTGGATGCCTTCCCCAGCCTGGGCGGTGGCGGCGGCAAGTTCGCGGCGGAGCGGCTTGCCGACCTGGGAGCACAGACGGGGGAGGCGGCAGCAGCGCTGGCCGCTGACAAGGACGTTGGCCTGTCGCCAGCTGCCAGGCTGCGCAAGGCTGCCAACACGGCCGGCAAGGCGGAGCGCAAGGCGGCATTGGCGAGGAAAGTTTTGGCAGCAGCCACCTCAGAGGTGTCCGAAGCGGAGGCGGCCCTGCAGGCGGCGCATGACAGGCTGGAGGACGCCGAGCTGCGCCAGGGGGAGGCGCGGGACCGCCTCACGGCGCTGGAGGAGGAGGCAGAAGGCGAGTCAGGAGCGGCTGCGGGTCACGGGCTGCGGCTTGGAGGCCATGCGCGGGGTCCCCGGCAGCGCATTCGGCAGGCAACTTCGCCGGGGCCTGGGGGCACACCATGCAGCAGCTGCAAGCGGTCGAGGATATGCTCGCCTTTCAGGAGTCAGACGCTTCGGCGCGGCCTCGGAAGAGGTGGGGCGACTACTGCCCGGAGGGCGGCGGGGCCATCGACTCCGACGCGGACATCGAACTGGGCCGCTCGCGCAACCAGCCGCCGAGCGCGGGCAGGCGGAGCGGCGGCCGCCAGCGGCGGGCCCTTGGCCGCGAGTGCAGCCTTGTATGATGCAAGACCTGGTGGAGGCGGCTGCCGATGTGGGCCCTCTGGCGACAGCGCCAGGCAACGCCGTGGGCGTGGTCGGAGGAGCTCGGCGGCACCTTCAGCCCAGGTGAGGATGGCCCGTCGACTGGAGCTCAGGTGCTGGCTCTGGCCGATATGGTCCCACGAGAGCTGAAGGCGGCGATCGTCGCATCCATCGACGGCTCCTCCCGGGCCCAGGCGCGGACGGCCGTCGAGCGCCTGCGCAACGGGGGGGGCCCAGGATGGCTTCTTTCTCGTGCAGGAGACCAGGTTTATGTCGGAGGCGGCAGCCTCCGCGGCGCATGTCTGGCGCGGGCGCAATGGGCTCCGGGCGGCGCTGGGCCCGTGTCAGCACGCGGGGCTGAAGACGCAGGAGGTCTCCTCGGGCGCGGGCTTCCTGGCCGCCAGCTTCCGCGGAGTGGCGCAGCTCGACCGGCGCTGGGACGACCTCGCCCGGGGCCCAGCGCGCAGGGCGGCCGCCTTCGGGGACCTGGTCGTCGCGGCGGCCAGCGTCCACATCCAGCATTCGGCGTGGCCCTCGGGGCTGAGCCTGGATCTGCCAGGCGCCCTCCAGGTGCCCCCGAATGAATTGTGGGGGCAGTTCATCGTCGGAGGAGATTGAAGCGTGGATCCGCAGAAGCTGGCAGGTCTGCGGCGGCCGCGGGCGGTCGGAGGAACGGCGTTGGACGCCCAGCGTGCTCTCGGCGTCGCCAGCGGCCCCGGGGCCCACTGCGACGGCTCTGAGGCCCGCCGCCGCGCGCCCGCGCGAGCCCGTCCGCCTCTCCCTCGAGGGGCCGGGGGCCCCGGCGCAAGTCTGGGCGCGACAGGCGCCGCGGAGGTTTGATTTGGAGGCGACTCGACTGTGGCGCCCGAGGCAGAGGCCCAAGGCGTCGTTGAGGCGGCAGCTCTTCGGCGGACAGTGCCACTCTTGGACGGGCGTGGCCTCCCCGACTTGGCAGTACGGGAGTCCTACGACGCGGCGGCGAGCAGCGTCTGCTCGACCTCTACGGCGTCGAGGCTGGCAGCGCGCGGCGTCGAGGACGGCCCCGCGGCGTCCGCGGGGCCGGGAAGCGCCCGAAGGGCCTCCAGCGCGCGGAGACTGCGAGGAAGATGAGCTCTGATCACGCGGCTCTGGATATCGCTCGACAGGCGCGCGCTGCAGCTGGCCTCGGGGGCGGCAGCGCTGGCGCCGCCTGCAGGGCATCGGGCGTTCGCGCAGCATCTGGAGGAGGCCGCCCTCTCACTGGTGCCGACCTTCGCCCTGCAAGGCTGCTTGATGTTCTCAGGCGAGAATGCGCGGCTGATGTTGGAAGAAGCGAAGGCGCCCACGAGCGCAAGAAGCCTTTTCCTGGGGGCCACCGAGGCCGCCGCGGCCAACCACGCCGGGGCCGACGCTCAGCTGGCGCGGCGACGCTGGAAGGAGTTGGGCGCGGGGGCCCGCGGGGCGCGCGCGGCTAGCATGCCGGCGCGCTCCGAGCTGCCTGCCGTCTTGGGCGAGAGGCCGGCCGAGTTCCCTCCTGCGCCCTGCGCCGCTGGCGAGGCAGGCCGCGCTGGACCAGGCGCTGCTGGGCTGGAAGAGCCGCGGCAGACAGGAGGGCCCCCGGCGAGCCTGAGCGGGCCCGAGGGGGCCGCGCGCCTACGACATCCTCTGCGACTGCAAGAGGACGGTGGACTTCATCCGAGACATCCAGTGGGCGCAGAGCCCCACCTCCATGAGCTCCCACCTGTGGGCTCGCGTGGGGGGCGCCTCGGTGGGGGTCTCGGCCAGGCGCTTTCCTGCCCGCGCGTCCGAGGAGACGGTCAGGGGCGGAGATATCACGGCGCCGGGGCGCGACGGCAACCGCCTGGCCGACTTGCGGGCTAAGCAGGGGGCAGGGCTCCATGCTGCAGCGGATGATGACGCGCTGATCCTGGAGGGCCTGATGGCGCGGGCCCGCGATGCGGCGCGCTGCGCTGCGGGGGCCGAGGTCCACGTCGCCGACGATGGGGGCCCGCGACTGCTGGCCTGCGGCGGCCTTGGAGGACGTGGTATTTGAGGTCCCCGCAGAGATCTCCGACGAGGCTGACGCCGCAACGAGGTCCCCCCCAGGCTGGGCGGCGGCAGCCGGGCTGGCAGCGGCCGCGGCCGCCGCGGTCTCCAGCGCGGCCCCCAGTGCGGCCAGCTCAGGCGTAGCAGGCAGCGGCCCCGGCAGCTCCCCGGCTTGGAAGCGACCCGCGGCCTGCATCCAGCCTGTGCGCGGCGAAGCTGAGGAAGCTGACAGCGGCGGTGCGGGGGCCTCCTCGGCGTCGGCCGCCCTGCGTGAGGCTGCGCGCAGGCTCAAGTCGGAGCAGGAGGTGCAATCTCTGTCGGAAGGCCCTGCGAAGGCGGCGAGGACCTCGCGGTGCTCGGCAGGAGAGTCGGCTCGCAGTGCGTCTGCGCGGGCAGCCCCATCGCCTGGAGCCAGTCCGCCGACTGGGGGGGGGACGCGCTCGAGAGGCAGGCCCAGCAGGACCACGACCGATTTGGAGGAGGTCGCGGGGAAGCAGGGGTCCCAGGTTTGCGGCGAAGCTGGGCCTCAGCGAGGTGGGCTGCCGACTCGGGCGCGCAATGGTCCATCGAGGGCTATCAACGCGCCAGCGCCGCCGCCGCCACAGGTCGAGGGAGAGCCCTGGCTGGTCAACGGGCACCAGCTCACGCAGGGCCAGGTCCTCAGCGGAGGGGGCTGCGCGACGCCTGCGTCGGGGCGGCCGCCAGGCCTTGGCAGGGCTCTCGGGCCCAGGCCAGATCAGACCTGCAGAAGGGGCGGCTCCCTGGCACGAAGCAGCCGTTCTGCAAGCTGCCCCCCCCCCACACACACACACACACACACACACACACACACACACACACACACACACACACACACACACACACACACACACACACGGCGGCCATCAAGATGCCGTGGGCCGAGAGGCTGGGCGCTGAGCAGCAAGGCGCTGGAGGCGGCAGCAGAGCGGCAAAGGCAGGTGTGTCGGCCAGCGCCAGCGTTGCGGCGCAGGCCGAGGAGCCGCCTGCCGCGGGCAGGGCCGTGGCCCAGCGGGCCCCGCCAGCCGCCGCCCGCTCGGAGCGCGAGGCCGCGCTGCGCTCATCATGCCGCCCCAAGAGGCTGTCGCCCGCGTGCACGGGTTCGGCGACTTGGCGCATGCGCGAGCCAGGGGCCTGGCGGCGAGAAGTGAGCTGGCGGCGGCGGCAGCGGCCCGCGTGGGCGCCCAGGGCGTGACCCGCGCAAAGACTTAGTTCTTTTCACGCACGGGCCCTTTGGCTTTCGAAGAGCAACAAACAAGTCCCCCGCCGCATGGTTCTGTCGGGTGCCGGCGGGGCCAGTGAGAACTGTCGGAAGGACCGGACATATTCTCAAGCGCGGAACGCCCAGCACTCTTGTTGACGAATCGAAAGGGGGCCGCGGGTCGGGGACGTCAGCAGCGAGCCGCCGCCGCCCCATGTCTTGTGGAGACGCCTGCGTTGTAAAACGTCGAGCGACGAGAGTATGGCCTAGGTTTCCCCAGCTGCTGGGGAAACCGATGGGCTTTCTTCGGTCGTCTTGGGGCCTGTACTGTCCGTTCTCGCCTGGTATTGGGGGCCTCTTGGGTCGTCTTGGGAGCTCGCACAAACCGAGAGCCAGCAAAAACACTGAAAACCGTGCTGTGGTTTTGCATTGCCTCTACGGCCGACACCCAGCCAGGGCTCCTGAGACGGCCCAGGGGATCCCCACAAGAGCATATTGGACCATCCCGGGGCCATCATGATCGCCTGGGAAGCGTCATTGTGGCCATTCTGGCCCGTCCTGGGCCGTCTTTGAGGCCAGGATCCTGCCATCTTGGCGGTGGGTTGTCGTTGCTTTCTGGTCGTAACGCAGTGGGGGCCCGGCCGAAGGCCAGTGGGCACCCCTTGGAATCACAATCCATATTTACGGTGACATCTGACACGCCACGTGTCTCGTGATAAATCTGAGATCGCGGAGGATCGAAGACGCTTGCGGCGAATCACCGCCGCCCACTGCCTTTTATAGGAGGCGCCAGTTTGGCCAAATGGTTGGGCTAAGTGTGGCCGACTATGCGTTCCCCCAGCCGTTGCGGAAACCCGTCGGTTCCGGAGAGCTTCCTGGGGGGCCTCTTGGAGGCCTTTTGGGGGCCTCATTGGATCTCTAGGGGGGCCTTTGGGGTTCTTGGGGCCCCCTTGCCCGTCTCACGGCGTTCCTTGCCCGTCTGACGCCGTCTGGAGCTGTCTTGGGAGCCTTTCTGGGCCGTTTTAGGGGCCCTATTGGGGCGCTTCAGGGTCGTCTTGAAGGACACCTCGGGCGTTTTGGAGACCTCTTGGTTCTTGGGCCGTCTTCGGGCTCTTTTCGCTTGAGCCGTCATGGGGACATCTTTGAAGTCTTGTGGGCGCTCTTAGGGGCCTCTTGGGCCGACGGGAAGCCGAAAGGAAGCGAGTGCCAACATCCTTCAAACATGAAAAGAAAATGAATGTGTTCAGCCTCTTCGGGCCTTCATCAAGGACCTCTTGGACGCTTTTCGGGCCGACTCAGAGGCCTCTTGGGGACTTTGTCGGCTCTCTGGGCCATCTTGAAATCATCTGGGGCCATCTTGGGTGCGTCTTATGCCGTCGAAGGTGCATCGTGGTGCCATCTTGGGCTCTCTTGGGGAAATATTGGCCGTCTTGGAGGCAATCTTCGCCATGGTGGGCCATCTTGGAGCGGGAACGGCGCTGATCTGGGGATCTCGTGCAGCTCTCTGGGTTGCCGGCGGTTTGGGCCGAAGCCCCAGGGTGAGTTTTTTTTAAGAACAGAAGCGAAAAGTCCCAGACGTCCAGCACGTCGTGTACGGGAAACGGAAACGAGGTACGAGCGAGAGACGGAAAGAGCGAGGTACGAGCGAGAGACGTTTGGCAGGGGGCAAAGCCTTTGTAGGGAGGGGGTCTGGGGGAGGGGGCTAGCGGGGAACAACAGTCTAGTTGCCCTCGCGCCTCGTTTGTTTCAAATGAAGCGGCTCCCGGGCGGCTCCCATGGCCCGTTTCCTCGTATGTGTTCAAGTGACGCGGCCCAAGGGCCCCAAGACGGCCTAAGAGGGCCCCAAAACGACTTCAGAGGGCCCAGAGACGGCCCCAAGAGAGTTTCAGATGGCCTCCAGACGGTCCA